GGGGGGGGGGGGGGGGGGGGGTGTTAAATCTATGCCTCAACCAGGCAATCTCTCCCCACCCCCACTGCTCCTGGCATGTGCAGACCTGGCACTCAACTTGGGGATGGGTGTTTGGTTGGGTGGGGAGGTTGCCTGGGAGTGGGGGCAAGGCTGACCTCGCCTGGGCGAATGGTGCACTCTAAGGGCCGTGCCTCAGGGGGCAGCCGTGGGTAAGTGTCCAGCAGCCAGGACAGCGTCGTTCGGTTGGGGTGAAACTCAGGTGTGTGCTCTGGCGGGTACAGGAACCAGCGCTGCAACGAGAGGGGCTCTCAACAAATGCAGCTCCTATGTACATCTTCCACAGGGGTTCGTCCCCCCCTTCCCTTCTGCCCAGTGCTACTGAGGTCCAAGGCCAGCAGAGTCCACTAGCTAAACTGCCCTCAAGGGATAGGAACTGGGGCTGGCCAATGCCCAAAACTTCCCGTCACAGGGGCACCAATATGTGCAGCACCTAGCACCCCCTGAGCTGGGATTGAGCTTTGCACCAGGCTCTAAGGCCCAGTATTACCACCCCCTTCCCCAGCCACTGTACACAAGGGGCCAGGTGCATTAAGGTGCAGTAGTTCCATCCTGTGCCCCAGCTGGTGTCAGTGGTGCCTTGTCCAGCCCAGCCTCACACACTCACCTTCCTGCCAAAGATCACCTCGGAGAACCCAGGGCCATGCCAGTGGAAGGGCACCCCTGAGCCGGAGCCTGTGGACAGACAGCCCAGAGATGGCAGCAGAGCAGTGGTGCTGCTGGCTGCTCAGCTCCCACAGCCTGGCTTTAACAACAGCCCCTTGCAGAGACTTGGCTCAGCTCCACCTTTCACTGCATCAGCTACACTTCTGCCCCCTTGCCTGGTTCTTACAGACAACTTCTCCTTAGATGACCCAGCCTTTAGAGTTAGGCACCTAAGATGGCAGCAGACACCTCCTCCCTGCCCACCACGTCCCCCCCAACACCCCTTTTCAGCCTAGGGCTGGGGCACTTGCTGAGGGCCTGCAAGGCCCAGGGTCTAGGTCCCTGGGACAGGGGGCTGAATCTGCATTTCCCTGGGCCTGGACCTTCAGTCTGGCTGCTCTAAGCACCAGGTCACAGGCTACACAGGGTTTAGGAGCAGCCATCCACCCTTTTGTGGGAGCTGGCTATGAGGAGCTACATGGGACCAGAGAAGGATGGGCCCAGCAGCATGGCTCAGTAGGAAGGGCCTTGCCTTGGCAGGGGAAGGGGTCTGGATTTTAGCCCCAAGGGGAAACTACTGTTTTGCTGCAGGGACTACACTCAAACACCCCTTAGAGCTCCTTCCTGTTCAGGGCAGCTCCACTCTGGCTTGGCCTACTCTTAGCTCCACGTAGCTCCCCCTTGGGGCTACCCAGCAAAGATGCTTCAGCAGGAAGCACAGATGGTGACCCTGTGTGTGGTGCAGTGGTTACAGCACTTGGGTTCAAACCCACTCCTAGGGCGAGCCAGGGCCTGACTCTCCTACCCTGAGGCAGGTCATTTCCTGAGTGGTTTTGTGTCTTTTTTAAAATATAATTTACACTGACTTTCTCCCATTCTGACCTAAAGTGCCCCATGGGTGGCTCACATCAGCCACCTCAGGGCCACTGGCTCACCCAAAACAGTCAGGTGTGGGCTGGGACCCAAGGAAAGGCCCAGCCCATGCCCGCCTCCCAGGCTCGTACTGACCAGCAATGCCGAAGCTGTAAGCACTGGTGGTGCCGGGCAAGCGGAAGGGCGGGGGCACGTATTTCTGGAAGAGGGAGCCCCACTCCGTGAAGTTGTTGTCCCCGAAGAAGTAGAGTGTGTCTGGGTGGGAACAGGCACATATTAGGCTGTAGGCAGTGAGCGCAGCCCCTGAGCGAGGAGCGGGAGGCCCCTACTCACCACTGCCCAGCAGGGTCAGGTCCTGAGGCTCCAGCAGGTGCTCCACGTACTCCTGGAAGGGCATGTCCACTGGGGGCAGGGGAGTAGGAGTGCAGGGCAGCTGGGCCAGGGCCCTGGCTTCCAGCCAGGGATTGCCTAGGCCAGAGCAACAGCCAGCCACCCTCCCCCACCCTCAGGAAGCACAGCC